ACCTGATGGTAAGTGATGATCAGGCCGAAGGTGGAAGCGAGCTTCGCCCGGAATCCTCAACCACAGAGGAACTGGCTATCTTACCTCTAACTGCCGGAACACAACAATGCTGTTAACATTGTTGTTATGGGTTGTTGTTGAGTTTGAATTATTTCCCGTTTTTGCAACATTTTTCTTTACTGATCCACTCCTATTGGTGTTAGCGTGATGTTATATAGCCTATAGCCTTCCTCGATAAATGGGCTATCTAACACTGAAAGAATTTTTCAAATCGGACCAGTAGTTCCTGAGATTAGCGCGTTCAAGTAACAAAACAAACTCTTCAGCTGTGTAATATTAGTATAGATGTAAATTGGCGTTGCATGAAAATTTCAATGCACATTGGAAAGGACAGATTCAGCCAATTTTAATCATTCAATTTACTTCATATTAATGACAATAATTTAAAAAATTATTTAAAATAAATAGATATAGAAAGAAGAAAGAAAGAAAATTTGTTTATTTGGTTCAAACATAGTAATTTTACATATAGGTAGGTACTTACTAACATTAAATGTAGTTTCAAATTGGCAATGTGAGCGCTTTGGATCTATCTGTAAGCTCACTTGCATTTTAATTAAATAAATAAATAAATAGTTCGTGACACCCAAAGTAGCCAATAAGTTCGCAACACGTCTTTTGTTACAAATTGGAATAAGGTTTTTGTTACAGATTTTACGAACTAAGTGGTAAAATTAGGTCCACGCTACGAAGTCGCGGGCGGCCGCTAGTCTTGTCATTATTATAAAGCATCAACTTCCTTCTAAAGTAACAGGTTTTACCCACTTCTTATACAGGGTGGAATTTTGTAATGCCACCTGGAGGGAAAGTACTCTTAATACTGTAGATATAAAATTTTACTGAAAGAAAACATTCCTTTATTTTTGAAAAGAAAGAGAACTGCATTCAAAGATTTTCGCAAATTTTTCGAAAATTCTCTACCATACCATACAATTTCCTGTACATAATTAAAATAATTTAAGATTTCATGGTTTTCTTTTCATTTGATTTATCAAGTTTGTTAGAGAGATTTCATCCTTGTACTTAACCCTAACATAATACCTAACCATACTAAAATACAGGTGTAATTTTTAACAGATTTTAGTTGGATCGAATGCCGGGCGAGGCAAGCAAATTTTTGGAAATCTTTGAATGCAGTTTTATTTCTTTTCAAAAATAATGGAATGTTTTCTTTGAGAAAAAAATTCTATCTACAATATTAAGAGTACTTTCCCTCCAGGTGGCATTACAAAATTCCACTCTGTATATGTAGTCACTTAAAATTATCAGCTCATCATATTTTGCGTAACAAAGCCTGTTGACGTAAGAACGAGTTTATTAAAACCTTTTTTTTTTACTTATTTGAAAACATGAACACTCGGTGTTGGAACGATATGATCCTTTCTCCGCGTTATAATTACATTAACATTACTAAGTAGATGCTTTTACTTTATTCGTATTAAAACTCTACTTTCTTTGTCGGTTTTAACTTTCTTCAAAAGTCGTACAGTTTTTGAAACGCAGCATTAAACAATTGATACTTTTTTCATTGCAATTCCTGTATTCTATTTAAATGGACATAACATAAACTTTGAGTAGTGACAGATTATCAGGATATTTCAATAAATGTCTTTACTTTTCTTAAGATCGGCTAACGACTTACTTTTGTACGAGTATGTTAATAAAGATTCTACCCTTGTAGTGACACCATTTATGTTGATTTTGAGCCTATTTAGGGAAATTGCATCCTGACAATTTAATTGAAATCAGTACATGAAATCTAGTATATGATAAAAACAGGGCAGCTAAATAAAACCGTTTAAAAACAGCGACACCCTAAGTTATTAATTCAGTAGCTACTACTATTACTGTAACAGACGTTTACGTCTATACGTTAGCCTAATATCTTTATTTAATTTACCTATATTTGGCGGTTCAATCTTCACTGACATTCACTTGACAGCTCTTTACAGCTCAATTATCAAACTCTATTTCAATTCCTAATTGATTGTAATTGATTGACGTATAATACTTAGAATTTGAGTCGAGAATTCTTCAAGTACATTCAATTTTAGGAAAAAATTATGTAGAGTAAGCTCCAAGTTTAGAACGAAATTTGTCAGAGCAGATAATGTAAAAGACAGTATGACTAATATTGACATCAATATTACTGTCATTCCTTCCTGCGGTAATGACATTCTAAATTTCCTTACAACCAAATAACATTGTCGTACTATAACCACAGAATAATAATAAGTACCTACTACGTACAGAAGTTTTACTTCGCGAAGGTATTTAAAAAAATGTATGCTCAATGTCATTAACAATATGGTGTAATTTAGCTTGTCTCAAGAGTCAAGCAAGTTTGTCAGAAGTTTTGTTGACAAACGTCAGTGATCGGTACTGCGCCGAAGCTATAGGGCTGACTTCGGTAAAATGATGTGACGTGAGGTGCCAATCTGCAGAAAATGGCGGAGGAAATACATGATTTAGCATGAATTATCATGAATAATATTAACTACTTATTTACCTCTCAGTGTCTTCAGGCAGCTTAAAAAAGTACATTCTGTGTTTTTATTATTATTTAGGCAGTTAAATACTTCACAGTATTTAGTACACCATTTTCTTTATTTTTGTCCATCATACACAAGAATACGCGTGCGTGAGTCAATGTTCGCTCGTATGTGAGGCCTTGTCGAATAGTACTCTTGTAGGGGGCAATCGTGCGTGTTTTGTTTTCGATGTAAACTCGCGGAGATGAACAGGCCTGCTATAACCATCATTTCTTCAATCCAACCACCACACTGTAAGTCGTTGTGACATTACTTCAATGTTTTTTTTTTTATACACAACGAGGAAGTTCTTGGCCTGTATCTCACCTGATGGTAAGTGATGATCAGGCCGAAGGTGGAAGCGAGCTTTACCCGGAATCCTCAACCACGGAGGAACTGGCTATCTTACCTCTAACTTCCGGAACACAACAATGCTGTTAACTTTGTATGGCGACAGACTTAGGTGAGATGGTGGTAGCTAGCCAGGCGGACTTAGAACAAGCCCTACCACCAACCAACCAACCAAATGTCATTTACTTTAGTATTCCGTTCGCTTATAAGATGTTTTGTTATGTTCTTTATTATGTTGGATTGTTGTATAGCAATGCAGCAGTATTATGAATCCAGATTTCCTATACGGCTTGGAATGTCAATTTATTGTTTTACAATAATTAAGTGTCACACGTGACGCTGGTGATTGACACCACTCATCGTTGACATTGACAACTGACGGCTGTATTGTATTGAAAGTTTAAATGATTTAATTGCGAGGATGACGAACAAACATTTTTATTATAATAGGAAACTTCACTTGGCACTTAAACTACATTGTTGCAAAAACAAACTTGGTTAAAAAGTAAGTTCTAAATCGATTTACCGTGACAAGTGTAAAAGTGAACAAAACAAATAATTAAAAAGTAGATTGAACCATTGTGTTTAAGTGACTGGCTAAACGATTCATTTTAGTTGAAAATTGTTGAAAACCAAATCAATATTAAGAAAAATTATAACTGATTACTCGTCTCGATGGCTCTAGATCTAGATCATGGAATATTCGTGATAATACTCTGGATCAGTAAATAAAACACTGACTATAGTGAATTTGTTCCATATTTCTTTTAACGGATATAAGACTTTACTAAGTAAATACCTATTCTTATCCACCAAAGATGTATTTCATTGCGGGTCCGATATGACAGTTTAACTTGCCCGCGGAACAAACTTGACCTTCACTGGTTGGGTTTTATTGGCGGTCAAGCTGTTGATCCTGGCTACACAGGAGTTGCAGCGGTGGGAACGAGATGTGGGAATAGTTCCGTTATTCACCAAAGATCTTTGGGTAATCTACTTGAACTTTCTACTTAAAACTATAAGCTGTTATGTATTGTGTGTTGTTAGACAAAATCATGTTACAAATCCAATCTAAGGTTAGTAATTATAGAGTAATAAAAAGTTGTTAAAGTAGATCATCATTTTACGCACGTAAGTCTGTTGTGTAGGGTTTGCATTAGAATTAGATTATGTAAAGCTATACGGGTATTTTATTGCTCTGCATTTTAATATTTATGTCAATACTTTTTCGCAATGTTTCAGAACTACGATTGATTTATTTTAATTTCATTCATTTCCTAATGAATGATTTAAGATCAATTCATTAAAATTAATCCAAACTAGATCATATTAGTAACTTTGATGTCTTATTAATTCAATTTTTGTTATGCCATTGAAATATTGATGAAATTGCTAATTGCTAAATTTTCAACACCGATACCATAGATTATATCATTCACATTACACCATATTACGTGTTTATGGTAAGTAATTAAGTTACTGGATACCTATCTGATGTTAGAGATCAGAAGAATATTCTGGAAAATAGAGATGATACCCATCTGACTTGCAATTAAAGTGCCCATCTTACCCTTGAAATAAATACGATACACAATACACTTACTTTCCCAACTTTAACGACGTCGATACAAGTACATAATCGTAATGTTCGATCGCTGGCTAATAATAGATAGCTCATGTTATTTAATGAACTGTGTTAACGGTGTGTTGCGTCTATTTACATTCCTTTTCATTTACATCCTTGACATTTTTGCATTCCTTTTCATTGTCTGAATATTCCACTAGAAATGTGCGTCCAAACTTTCTGTATTTTATCGTCATGTTTATGTCGGCCTCGACGCTCTCAAACCTATTATTTCCATATTCATCAAATATCTCTTAAAGCTAATTAAGACTTGCGAGAAATTGCATTATTTATGGCACTCGACGCTTGCATTCTAACTATTATTATCACCGCCGTCGGCGATATAGAAACCGCGATCGTCAGTCGTCATCGATCCCGATCATTCGCATGCAATTTCTATCAAGTGGTGTCTATGCAGATAAAAGTTCACTGACCTGATCAACAAAATTCTCCGCGGTGAACCGCTTGGTGAACTCCGTGAAGGTTTCCTTGTCCTGCAGGCTCTCCCGTCTCGCTCGCTCCACCTTCATCTTTTTGATTCCAGTGATGTCCTTGGACATTTTGAGTTCCTCTATCAGGTCTGTTTTGGCGCTTCGGTAGTTTTCGGCGGCGCTGGGTAGGCATTGTAGGCTGACGGATCTAGCCGGTGGCGGCGCTGATAGGGTTTTGGTGGCCGGTGTGCGGAGCCTGACCGCGGATAGTTCAGCGCTGCTGATGGCTGCTAGAGGCTGCGCATTGGTTGCCGGGGGCTGGGGCGGCGGCGGCGGCACGGGGTCGCTGGGGACCGGCGGCGGCGGCGGAGGGCGGGCCTCCGCCGCGCTGTCGTCCCGCTTGCAGGGCGCCGTGATGGTTTTCAAGTACTCCGAGGGTTTGATGAGGCGGTCGGGCGCGTTGTTGGGGAACGCGGGAGGAATGAACGGGAGGGCCGGCTGTTTGTTGACGAGGTTGGGTCCGCGCGGTCGGTCGTCGTCTGCGATGGAGCCGCGCCGCCCCGCTGCAAGATGGCGGCGTGAGAGGGGAGAGAAAGTCCGCGCATCGGCGCGCACGCATCGCGTCTGTGTACTGTCGGGGACGGAACGTCTTTCTAGCAATTCAGAAATTTGGGACCGACATTCTAAGGAGGATTGCACTATTTAATTTTGTAAGATTAATCAAAATTTTTGACTAGAACTATGGAATTTTAACATATGAATAGAATAGAATAGAATACCTTTATTCAGCATTAACATTTATGTGCATACATGTACAGAGGTTAAATTACTGAGCCATGCTGAAAAGGCGATATGAGATAGTTTTGTGGATTTATCGTTCTGTAGAAAATAAATTCCTGTAATGGATAATATTATCATACTCTTTAAAATGGAATACCTGAATCTGTCCCCGACGGTACACAAAGTAACATTATCACATTTAAATAAATTTAATATTATAAATGAATACAAAAAGAAATGCGTTTGTAAAGCAATGGATGGATGATTCGCTTGATCAGGCCGCAGAAGCGTCATTTGAAATTATAAACACATTAAATTGGGAAAAATAAATAATGTCACACATGCAATTAACGTGCATAAATAATTATCTTCTTAGATCTTCCGCATTATTTTCATATTCGTACTATAGTTTTCTTGCTATTATCTGTGGCTGGTGTCAATGACACCAAAGTTGTGTAGAGCGTAGTTTTATGATGAAGTGTGTATGAAGTTGGGAAGCAAATAAAAAATCTTTCCTACCCTTTCAAGTTTACTGACTCTATGAAACTTATATTATCCCCAACTAATCAATTAGTTGCAATATCGCAGTGAAAGCCCCTTTTTTCACGCTACAAACAGTCAGACAATGCCTATTAATATTTTTTGCATTTCGTCTTAATTTGAAATGGAAAAAAGCAATATAGTCCAGTAGAATTAGCTTTTAAATCGGAAATAATTCCTACAAAAGATTTTATTGTTTTAATGGCTTCATTGGTTGCCCATTAAGACTCTCCTAAGTTTTCGACTTCGACGGAGTTGTGCTTAAGTGGTGGGGGCCCCCGAAAGAGGCATTTTTTCGGTTTTCCGGTTATACCGCGTAAAGGACTTACCCTATCAAAAAGTGGTCTTCATGACGGTTGAAGGGCACTTAATCCTGCATTGAATAAGACCAAATTCATATGTTTTGGACAAACCATTCTCGCGCTAAAGTTCGGCAAAGTAGAAAATATACGTATAATTAATGACCCTCTCCACGTCCAATGGTTTGTTACCCACAGGCTTCCAAGTCTTGAAAAGGGCCACCTCAACCAGTGTAACCCTATCAAGGCTTGCGAGCTTGATGCGCCTATCCTTGTTCGTCCCAGCCGTTCCTTAACTGCGGTTGCTGCACCTCTTCCTGGCACTCACCTGAACGACTCTGTGTTACCTACTGTGGCTGCCCCTCTTCCTTGTATCCTCCTGCATGACTACGTTGCCTAGCCGTATGCCTGGTCTAAGGTTCGACGCCAAAAATCAACAACAACAAGTTCATATTAAAACGCTGAAGAGTTTTTTGTTTGTTTGTTTGAACGCGCTAATCTTAAGAATTACTAGTTTGATTGAAATCATTATTTTTGTGTTGAATAGCTCATACATTGAGGAAGGCTATAGGATATATACAATCACTCTACGACTAATAGAGGCGAAGCAGTAAAGAAAAATGTTGCAAGCACGGGAAATAGTATTTAAACTATTTTCACTCGTACGAAGTTGATTTTGTGGCGTCGAACCTTGGACCAGGCATATGGCTAAGCAATGAAATCGTACAGGAGGGTACAAGGAAGAGGGGCAGCCACATTAGGTAACACAGAGTCGTTCAGGAGAGTGCCAGGAAGAGGTGCAGCAACCGCAGTTAAGGAACGGCTGGGACGAACAAGGATAGGCGCATCAAGCTCGTAAGCCTTGATAGGGTTACACTGGTTGAGGTGGCCCTTTTCAAGACTTGGAAGCCTGTGGGTAACAAACCATTGGACGTGGAGAGGGTCATTAATTATACGTATATTTTCTACTTTGCCGAACTTTAGCGCGAGAACGGTTTGTCCAAAACATATGAATTTGGTCTTATTCAATGCAGGATTAAGTGCCCTTTAACCGTCATGAAGACCACTTTTCGATAGGGTAAGTCCTTTACGCGGTATAACCGGAAAACCGAAAAAACGCCCCTTTCGGGGGCCCCCACCACTTAAGCACAACTCCGTCGAAGTCGAAAACTTAGGAGAGTCTTAATGGGCAACCAATGAAGCCATTAAAGCAAAAAAATCTTTTGTCGGAATTATTTCCGATTTAATCAATTTTTGTGTTTAATTCTACTGGCCTAATAATTCAGCGACTATTTCTGATAAGCCCGAGATCTAATTAATAAAGAGCGTAATTAAAACGTTTAAACTGTATTTTTCTCGATTTACTCTTAATTTAACTTGGCATACATATTACATTTTAGCATTAGTTCTAGACAAGTGCTAATTTGGTGCAACATGATGTGTGCGCATGAAACACTTCATGGCTATTGAGCATTTTGACGACGCCCGCTTGATTGCGCAGAATTTCGTCGTAAACCGTTCCATACACATATAAAACTGTTTATCATGTCTGTCTAGCAATACATTATAATCTAGTAAGCTTACTTTATAAAACTGTCTCTATATACGTCCTGTCCTTAAAATTCTAAGGCTAGGTTGTACCCAAGTTGTACCATCTTTCTTTAACTTTCGCAAACGTCAAAAATCAGTCAAACTCCTTACAAAATATGCCGGTCACCGTTATAGTTACAGTTAAAAAGTTAGGTAGTGCAACTCAGCCTTAAAAATCGATTTTCAAACTCTTCAGGGTTTTGTACATTCAGTTTTTCCTGAACTTGAAATATTTTCGGGATTTTCTCCTTCTATTCACAGAATTCTCCCTTATCCTCGGACTAAAACGATTTGCTGAGAAAAAATGTCCGAATGGTTCAGGGCCCGCTTAGCAACACAATGCGCATAGCACATACTTTTATTTACTAACGGCCCGCCCTAGCTTCGCACGGTTGCAAATTATGCACGTTTTATACATATAAACCTTCTTCTTGAATCACTCTGTCTATTAAAAAACCGCATCAAAATCCGTTACGTAGTTTTAAAGATCTAAGCATACATAGGGACAGACAGTGGAAAGTAACTTTGTTTTGTACTATGTAGTGATATAAGCATCCGCTAGCAACTTATTAGTAACTCGTATAAAAGTTATATTGAAATTAAAACTAAACAAACGTTAAAGGAGGCAGAAAAAAGTCTCAAAAGGACAACTTATCCTTTTAATTTTAATTTGTTATTACAATCACCCAATTCTTGGGCTATATTTGTAATTTTTCTTCATGTCAAAGTATTACCTCACCGAAATAATTACTATTTGAAATTAATATTTAGTAGCCGTGTTATTCGGTCCGTCCATTGTAATAAATTGTTACTTACGTAAAATCGATTTGATCTCAGATAATATTTAAATATGAGTGAAATTGGATCTAGCACACTTAATTGGAAGTTTTTAATTTGGAAACGATTGAATTCTGTTTAACTAAAACATTGTATGAGCTAACAAAAGACAGAAAACCTTTGGATGAGATGTAAGCCTTGTTCTACTGTTAAGTTAGTATTAGGTAATACTAGTCACGTTATTACAAAGTCAATATTTCTTTATTTGTATAGACTATTTAAATAGTACTAACAAATCGTCAAATATTTTGCTCTTAACGAGCCTCTACATGTCTCATAATCTTTTACCCTACTTACCAGCGCTTCGAAACCAATATTTGGCAAGTGCTGAGAAGAAGCGCCGCAACAAACTCAGTCACCACTGTCTGCTGGTTAATATAAAAAATAAAAATACAAAAAGTTTAACGGGCGTTGAAAGCTTGTTCAAATTGACATTTAGTGTAGAAATGTCATTTTTAACACGTGTTAAAGTTTTATAATAACACCAATTGAATCTAGTAAACACACGTAAAGTAAAAACTTTTGTAAAAGAGTAAAAAGACACTTATATCAATTGGTAGTTATACCAACTATTGCAAAAACAGATGACTTAAGTATGTCTAAGTAAGTAAATAAGTTGATAGATACAATTTACTTTACAATTCTTTTGAAGTAATGACTCCAATAATGAATTTAATGACTGAGCATGTTTAGTATTTGATGTTTATGTCAGAAAATATGAAGAGAGAGCTCCTTAAAACTCAAGTGGGTTTCTCTGCATCACTTTCAAAAAACAAAGTTTTAGGCGTGGTTAGTACGAATATTTAAGATAGTATCTGTACCTAAAATATTTTTGTCACGTTATTGATCAGAGAATATAGTATATTGGCATTGATAAAGGTTTTTAGACTTTTTACACACTACTTACGACTTATTGTAGCTCTTTTAGTTCGATTCAATCGCGTGAGATCTGTATGTATATCGACGCAACTGCGATATAGTCAATTATCATCATTGTTTTATGTTGAAACATATAGATGTTCGTTATAGAGAACGCAGACCCGTCAAATGAGCTCTATCCCTATCGATACCTACTAAAGTGATCAGCCACGACTAAAAATATATTAATCGCAAGTCATAGTGCGATGACTTCTATTGGAATAATCACTATGGTCGTATTATTCTAAGAAAGAGATTTAAACGGAACACGCGTGCTGTGATTGTATTGCGGGTCTGTATCGATATAATTGCTAGTTTTATTGATTCTGAACAGCGTCTGTATTTTCACAATGAGGCGATTCGTTTGATCTAAACACTTGTTTGCAATATTGACTATAAAAATACTCAGAAGTCCATACAATAAGTCATGTCATGTCAAACAAAGTAGCACTTGTTAACCTTGCTCTATACACGCCTTATCTCTTTGCAAATCGCTGAAAAACCTCGGCTAAGTTAGGCGAAACGGAAAGTGCTGCACCCCACTGGCCCCGTTGCAAGCGTAACGAATATTAAAATTTCAGAACGTTCGGGGAATGCTG